TTCGAAATTATTCTAGGAATGAATTAAAACAAAAATATAATTTTATATAATTCATGCATTTGTCGAATTTAGTTTGAAATGTATGCATTTATTTCTTCATAAGGATACAATCAGGAGATGCGCGCAGTCAATAAGAATGTATTGTGACGTCACATAGCTTAAACAAAACAGGTTAACTGTAAACCCTCAAAATGAGTTACGCACTCTATTTAACTCTATTTTTGGTGTTAGTTTCATCGAAGTAAACGCATCACAATGAAAAAAGAGATACATGTGTAGTACATCTGTACGTTGGCGCATGCGTTCAACGAGTTATGTTTCGTTGCGTGCATATGAGTCTGTGTATACGCTAACTAATATGATTGCTAAGTGTATCGTCACATACGTTCGATGAAACTAACACGAAAAATATAGTAAAATAGTCTCTACTAACACCGCAAGTGCGAGTAAGCGTACTCGAATACTTGTTTCTGTGCATCAAAAATGTGTTTTCTGGGTGTTTTTGGGGCCAGGAAACACGAATCTAGCGTTTTTTTGATGTCCGAATGTATGTGCGTACCTTGTACCCGGTACGCTGTACGCAAAAATTTGTTAAACACTCAAAAATACGTATTGGGGGGTTTTTGGGTACGAGAAAACCGAATATGACGTTATTTTTGCGATACTTATTATTTTCGACACACTTTTCATACAAAAATTTCAAAAAAATTGGATTTTTGTATGAAAGCCATACCTGTATGATATCGTTATGAGCTGAAAGTTTGCACAGATTATTTTTATCACACAAAAATAACCAGTGACCGGTTCGCGCATATTTCTATGCCTGATAGCTATGCTAAGCATAGCGGAGACGCAAGCCGCAACGCACCCGTCGCCATTCGATTCGAACTATATTGTATGCGCACGGTCTTCTGCATAAACGAACATGTGTATTGTTCATATAGAGTGAACGGCGATGCGTCGGTTGCGTTTGCGGCTATGCTTGGCATATCTATGCTACCTAGCGTATTTAGGCAAGCATAGAAATATGCGCGAACCGGTCACTGAAAATAACATTCCGAGGGTTTGAAGAGATTTCATTGCATAATAAGGGTACTTCCCGAACAAAATTTTGAATTTTTTGCTCAAAACCGATTTCTTCCAAATTCCAGAATGTTAGCTTTTTGTGAAAAAAATACCCTGTGCAAAGTTTCACGTCATTACGATATCATACAGGCATTGAAAAGTCTATCAAAAATTATTTGTATCGCAAAACTTATATCAGATTCAGTTTTCTCATGAATTTTTTGAGTAATAGATTTATAATAAATGCATGTTGTGGATCACAGTGCGGAAAAGTTCATCTTACAGATGTGAGACATTTTATTTTTTTTTCACTTTGATGACTACAGGACAAAACAACGAGTTTTTCCGAACACACTTCACAAAATATTAATTTAAAAAATTCATTATGAATTCGAAGAGAATCCAATTCATTATTAATTGATACGAAGAACGACATTATTTCATCAGGGGGTATAACGATTCAACATGTCTTGATTGGAATCTTCGAATAAAAAGTGTCTGTGTTTTACGTTTCGACCCAAATTAAAAGTACAGGGTAAATTGAAGGTCCAGAGATGACAATGACTGCACCTAATCCATGTAACTTTTCATGTACCGTACCTGAATTCAAGAAAGAGCGATCCGCATCTCCGCATTGGCCTTTGACCTATAACAGCTCGGGCAATAAAAGGTTATTGTCAATTGATTAGACAGTTTTTCCAAATGTTTTTTTTATACATTTTTATTTTTATACATAAAAATCTTAAAATTTCAAAAAGAAATGTCTCTTAAGTAAATAAATTTGCTTTTATGTATAATTAAAACTGGTTCAGGTATGCGCCTTTCGTATTTACATATCAATATCTTGAAATCACGAAAACGTATTTAGGAAAAAAGTGTGGCTCCTGCATAGAATTGAAATTTAGATATTTTAGTAAAATATAGTTAAAATATATGAGGCACTTTGTAAGTTTTTAAACTTTTAAATGTGTAATTTGTGATATATATTTTTCAAACTTTGCATGCATTTTTTCAACACTTTCTATTCGTTTCACTTTATGCGCACAATAGCTGAGTTTATCACAGATCCTATTAAGTGCAATTATTTTTATTTTTTTCAACGCTTTTATTAAACGTGGGGGAAAGTACACATTTGAAGGTGTTCATTTGTAATTTCGCATTTTAAAAAACTATTTTTCCTTTTTTCAGGCAAAATGGCGCGTGCATTTGAATTGAATGATCTTTAGTGCTTTAGTTTCAAAATGTCAAAAAGTGAAACATAATTTAATAAAACTTTAAATATTTCAATATTTTGGAAGTTTGACAATTTCGATGATTTCAATTAAAACAATTACATTAACCTAATTTGTATTTCGATCATGTCATATGACTAAAATTTCATATCCAAACGATTTTGTTTATGTAAGTACAATATCTCGTAAAATGTTATAGTATTTAATATTAAAACGGCACTTTTTCTTATAAGATCTACTTAAATTTCAAGCCTACACCTAGTAAATAAAAATCATTAGTACAATTTAAAAAAAAATAGGCACTTAGTTGCTCAAAGTAAATGTTTTTTTGTTTTTGTATAATTGCGTTTATATCATACAAACACACACGATGAAGTCAATAGGCAGTTGAAAAGTGTGTTATGATATTTTAATACTTGAATGTGACAAATATATTTTAAAAGAATCATATTTTTCAAACAGGTCACATGAATTATTGTCATGATAAATTATTGTACAATTTGTTTGTTGATTTATGCTATGCTAGACATTCAAACCGTTGTTTCATTTGTCTGCAGTGGTTGCAATTCTCTCTGCAAATCGTTGTAGTACTCACGATCTGAGTCTTGTTCGATATTATCTAGTGCATGTGTTTTATCACCCAAAACAGGAATGCCAATTGTCTGGGTCGGCAGACGACTTGATACGGCCGTCGCCGACACCCTTGTCGTTGAGGGAAATGCTGTTTGAATACTTGATACATTATTATTCATCAGATATTCTGGATTATCAACGCAGGCTGGTGTTCCGATTAAATCCATATAGCCTGGCGTTGCATTTGATTCACTTTGGCATGTGGGCATTAAATAGTCATCGTCATCTAAAGGCAAGTCTAGTCTTATATTACCTAAACCGATCTCACGATTTGAGTCGGTTTCATCGTCATCGGGTAGTTTAGCGCGTCCGGCTAAATTGTACTGTCTGAGCGCATTTGCAATGGGTTGTGCATTGCTTGGTCCGGGTTTTGATTGTGACATTCGATTTGGATTTGTCATCATATCAATATCAACAATTGATTCTTGATTGATATGCTGTCGTGCTAGTGTGCGTATCAAGTCTTTATCATCGTGTCCAGTATATTGTGGCGATCGGTAATAGCTATCACCGGGAATATGTAGGTATCGACCTGGATCACTTTTGAATTTTTCAAATTCATCAACCAATATTTTAAATGTTGGTCTACTATCCGCATCAATTTGCCAGCAAGAAAGCAATACGCAATATACTTCCAGTGTGCAGATTTCTGGCATTTCAAGTTTTTTACCGGCTTCAATTTCTTCTGGCACATTTATAGCTGCAATATCTTCGTATGGTCGTTTTCCAAACGATATTATCTCCCAAATTGTAACACCGAACGCCCATACGTCGGATTTTGTTGTAAACAATCGATTACGAATACATTCGAGTGCTAGCCACTTGATTGGCATTTTTCTACCAGACTCTACATACTCATCACTGTCATTTGATAGAAGCTTTGCCAATCCGAAATCGGCAATCTTAACGTTGTTCATGGTGTTTACCAGCACATTTCTAGCGGCTAAATCACGATGTACTAAACGACGTTCTTCCAAATAAGCCATTCCTTTGGCTATTTGTGTTGACCAACTGAGCAATTTTAATGAACAAATTTTGCCCTTTTTTGCTTTTACAACCTCAAGTAACGAACCAAATTGCATTAACTGTGTAACCAACATCATTTTATCAGTCATACATACGGCAAGTAATCGCAATATATTAACATGTTCAACCGTTGCCATAATGTATGCTTCTTCCAAAAATTCTTTGCCAGCTATATATTTGCGACTGTTGTCACCATTTGTTAATTGTTTGATAGCAACCGGTACTTTTGATTTTTTATTTTTCGACGATTCATACAACCAAATTCCTTTATATACTTCACCAAAAGCGCCACGACCCAACAAATCACCCATACTTAGCTCGTCCTCTTTAATTACCATTAATTTTGACAAATTCGCACCGACATTGCTTGGCCGTAAGGGTTCGGCATCTTCAAAACCAGCCAAAACCCGTGTCATACCAACCGTTTCCTTCTTTATTTTAGCCTTTTGACGAAAATGCAACGACGACATTATTAAAACCGCAAACAAAAGCAATAGTACAACAAATGCTATAGCCAAATACATAATTGTTTCAGTTGATTCACCGTCTGCAAAATCAGCTTTTGCCGATATAGCACTACAGAATGGTTGCTTCAAGGAATGAAAATTCTGATGTGGATGTGTTGTTGGACAGGTTTGTGTGCAATTGAATGACGTTGAATTATCACTAGGTTCACCTTCAAATATTTTATAATTCCAACATTGTACACAGTTATTCGGTCCGGCTGAATTACATCCTCGACAATCTTTGTGACATGGAAAGCATTCACGATGTTCCTCGTCTGCATAGTGATCAGGTGGGCATTCATCTTCGCACTGTTCGCCCCGTTTGTAGCCAGCACATTTTTGACAAATTTGCGAATGAAAACCATACCCAGTGCATTGTTTGCAACGGGGATGACATTTGCGACAAATCGCCTTCCCAACAAGTGGTTTAAGTATTGTTAGTTCCTCTTTGTTTTCTTTTGGAGCCACAAATTCATCGTAATATCCATCTATGGAATAAAGAGAAAAACATTTAGTTCAGACATTTTCAAACCGTGCGTTTTTCGGAGCTGTGAAAACAATATAAAAATATATATGTAATTACCTGGACAGTTTTCCTTCGCTTTTAAACATCGTTCAATTTTATTGTCATTGATGATTGCTTTTTCACAAGTTATACATCCATTTTCACCGATTGTATTTCTGGGTCCAGTGCATCCATTACATGTCTCATGGCAATCAAAACATGTACTATTCCGGGCATATTTCGATACGGGACACGCTGCCAAACAATGTTTGCCGTCTCTAACATGTGCACAATCAAGACAATCAGTCTCGTCAGGACCAGTACAGGAACGCTTGCATTCTGGATGACATTGACCACAGTGTATTTTATCTGGCATTGTGTATAGATTCGATTGACTTTGACATGATCGTAAACATGTACCATTGTATTTCACATGTTTACATTCCAAACATTGATCGGATCCAGCTCCCCAGCATCCAGCATCTGTACACTCTCCCGAACAAAATAAACCATCGCGTTCTATTCAAATAAGAAACAATATTGATAAATTTTAATCCAAATCATAAGAATGTCGATCAAATTAAATATATACTCACTACAATCCATTTGTTCGCGATTGTTCGAAATCACCGATTCATGATTGTCTGCCTTTTTTATTTTCTTCCAGTCAATATCGCCGGCAAAGCAAAGATTTTTGTTCTCTAATATCACAACGGCTCCCGAATTAATTTGTTTTAATGACCGTAACTCCAACGATTTCAAATTGGTTTTGACAATATAAAGCGACGCAAAGTATGTATCAAGTAATTGGCGACCACCAATTATTTCGAGATTTCGAAAATATGATAAATTTGTGAAATGAGTGTGATCGCCTTGAATGTTGATATAGCCGGTAACTTCACGCAATGTTGAAAACACCTCCAAACGATCCGGGTGCATTTTAATGTATCGTTCGCCAAATGAGAAATTGGCAAAAACCTGCTGATAACCGTTAAATGTTTGATCCAAAATTTCAAGGTTTCCTTCTATAATTGTACATCCACGGAATGTATCAATATTTCCTGAATGAATGACACCAACACCCGGGCAGGTTTTCGGACAAGGACCGTTACAAGTGACACATTCACCATTTTTCGCCGTTTTATTTATTGGACATGTTCTTACGCAGGCTCCATTATCTTTAAGTAAATGCTCTGGACAATTTCTAACGCATGTTGCACCATACGCATATTTTCCCTCTGGATTTGTTTCCCATAAATAATTGGTTGGATTATACTTTTGCATCGGTGGACATTCATGTTTACAAACACCATCATCGTAAAAGTTTCGACATGCCAAACATTTATTTTGTGTGGGTCCTGTACAACCGCCAGCACAAAATAAATGACAACAATCACGTGGATTTGGACCAAAACACCGACCCTCACCACATTGTGGCGAACAATTTATTTTGCTGAATTTCTGACAGTTGTGGGCTCCTTCACCCCAACATCCAGCTATACAAGACGCATGACATTTGGGACACACCGGCTCGGGAAATGTAAAATTGTAGACGATTTTTGAAATTTCCCCCGGCCCTACAAATATTTGAACGTTAAATTTTGTAAAAATCCGCACGTCTCTCAAATGAAATATTCAAATTTTACCTGTAATAATTTCATCCCAATTGATTGTTTGGAGGAAGCATAAATTTTGGTTATTAAATATAAACACCGATCCAGATAAAATATCACGTAATGCCGGTAATTCTAGAGAATCCATTTTTGAATAGCTAACGAACAGTCCAAATTGCTCGTCGTAAATGTTTAATTTGAATAAAGTTCGACCACGAATAATTTGTAATCTAGAACAAAATATATTTAAGTAAAATTAATTTCAATTTTATTCATAGGTGAATTATTCATCAGTTTTATTACCGTGGTAAAATAATATTTTTCACATCTACATGGCTGATAAGAACATATCCGGTAACTTCACGAATATGTTGTAAAAAGTCTAGATCAATTTTTGAATCGTCGAGCCATGTTAATTCCAAATTTCCATCAACATGTGTACAATTTGTAAAACGATCGCGCAAGTTACGATAATGATGCTGTCGATTTGATGGTACTGACATGCGTCCATTTGTACCAATACATACTGTAAAAAAATGAATGTCATTATTATTCAATGCTCATAAATATGCATGTTACATTATGTATGCGTAGTAATAACATCGTTTAATTCATTTCATGGAAAAAAAAATGTTAAATATTCAATTTGTTATAAATATAAGGAACTCGTAAATATGGAATCAACAATGAAATAAACCGTTGCCGCGAAATATATCTTTTATTTCATTGAAAATAGAAGTGCAACAAAAAATGTGTGAAAAAATATTTTTCAAAAATCGATATTATATTTTTTTATATAGCGTAAAAATATTTGTGAACAAAAAAGATATATTTTTCCAGTGCAACGAATCAAATTCATATATTTAAGATAGATGTCGTCTTTGCAAGCAAACCCACACCAACATATATGCTCTAGAAAAATCTGTGTAAAGGAATTGGTAAAAAGCGGATGGCATCTATACCATCAGTGTAAAACGATGTTGTAAAACATAATATAAGACAACACACCTATGCACGCACGCAAGAGAGAATGTACATGTACTGTGCAAGATGGGCTTTTACTCTTGATGACGATACACAAAATGCGAGTTTGCTTTATTTATGTATAACCATTTTAAAATGTCTGTAAACAAGTGGCGAGGTTGAAAAAGAAAAATACGGAGCGCCTCTTCAACTCATAAAATTTTGTGCAGTGTACAGAGAGAGATGAAGAAGAAGAGAGATGGTGTTCAAAGAGAACAAATACATACGCTTACTAACACTAATACATGAATAAAGATACGTGAGATCATGCACTAAAAAATGGAATGTGAATAAGCAGCAATTCAAAGTGCTGTTGTATACGAACGAATCGACGAAGTAAAGAATGAAAGAAAAATGTATATGATTGGAACTGAATATGCTGCGCGATATATGATCTCGTGATCAATGTAGTTGTAACGCTTTACCGATGGCGGTTGTGGAAAAAGTATCGGCTGCGCGTAAAAATTTCATTATGATCACTCGTTCAATCAATTATTGATTCACTACATTTAATGAATTCTAATGCATTAAAAACATATTTAAATGATTTATCAAATATAAAAAAAATATTTATCATATTATCAATATATGTATCAAATATATTACAACATTCAATTAAATTTAATTTAGTTATTAATAAATCATGCCAAAACCAAAGGAATGCTGTATAATGCAGAATAAAGAAACAAAAACGCACTTTGCACAACCTTTCGATTGATATATTCAATATTCACTTCGGAACGAACTTTGAATACTCGCTATGCAAGTATTTTAATTGTAAATCTGGATTTATATCGTATCTGGAATTTACGTTTGTACACATACATTAAACTAAAAATCTGCATATAATAAAATCCTAATGAGAGCAAATAACCTTTGGATAATTATAAAAATGATCGTGTATCAGAAATCACTCACCTCTCATATCATGCTCATCAGAATAAGCGCTGCAAGTAGATGCTACTAAAAGCAGCGCCCAAATTAATCCATAAGAAATTCTGTAATCCATTGTGATATAGTCGTTTTGTCATCAATTAACGTTGAAATAATTAATCACTTTCCTTTGAAACATCATTCATCGGCGCAAAGAAATTAAATAAACTTTTTATCGCACTGAATTGATTTTTTTCTTCTTTAAATCTATCACTTCTATTTTTTAAAATAAAATCAATTTTTTCTTCATTAATTGGTTTCAACAACCATTTTTTTCACACAGAATAAAGAGGAACTAATACAATGAAAAAATGTTGAGTTCAGCAAACAAAAACGAGCTTCAGCAAAAGAACTGGTCACATACACTTTAAATTAAAAAATTTTAAACTTAAAATCAAAACAGCACGATAAATTATTTGTCTTTTTAGTCATTTACACCAGTTTTTATATTTTTTTAAAAAAATTGTGCACTGAAAAACTATTTTTTTACGAAAGGAAGCAAATATGTCTTACAGACGCGCACAGATGTGTTTCGTCTTTGATTTTTCTTATATTTCATTTTAATGAAAGGCTCTATACATGTGCACAGTCGCATTCGACTTTGTTAGCAGGTGACCAATACATATGAATAAACTGGAAACGTCGCAGTAACGATACCGCCGAACATGTATGACACCATATGTGTATGTACTACACGCTATATATTTGTACGAATATTCGTATGTGTATGTATATACATGTGTCGGTGTAAAGGCATTTTTCCGACATTGTGTGACTTATGTGTAACTTTTTCGAATGCCTGTAAACAAGTGGCTAGGTAGAAGTGCTTCAACTCACATACGGTATGCCTTTCTTGTTCGGAGTTAGGCATCTTTCTACACTTCTTTCTATCGATCACTTCTATCTATAATTTTCGAACAAATGTATACATATGCCATTCCGCGCTCATACACATACTCGTACACATACTTGAAAAACGACCCGGACGATCGTCATGCATTCATAGAAAAATATGAAATGTAAATAAGCCAAATCGTTCTCATCCACTCACAGTCATGAACTATTCAGAATGTTTGTTAACGAACAAAGTACAAAACGAAAGTTGGAGTGTTTTCAATATGATTCCAACTTAATCCATTACATAATCTTGTCTTCGTATTATACGCTGTTCTTTTACAATACTTTTCCGTTCATAATATAATAGCATGAGCATACTGCTTTCATCGAAAAAAAAAATCCATACCCAATGGAAAAAATCTCGAACAAATGTTACATTCATAAAACTCACTTTTTTAGTGGATATTACAATTGATTCAATTAACAAAAATACTCATTTCTCGAAAATATTTTCATACACACGTACTCATTTTGAAACGTACGTTGGAATAAATTTCAACGTTAAAAAATTGAAAACGGTTTAATGAACTTCCGTTTAACTGTGACATTGATTTCGTTATTGTATCACCGATATTTAAAATTTGCATTTCCATAGAAGCAATAAAAAAAATGTTGAAAATATTAAAAGAGAAATGTACAGCAAAAATATTAAGCATTTTTGCTGTAAATGTGTTTTGCTTTTTCCGGCGTTGACAAAATGAAATCGAAAAAAAATACTGTAATTGAAACGTGTAACAAAGTCTTTGTAGAATTACTTAGTACGGCAGAATTGTTAAGTGCTTTTATGATGATTTTGCGTTTATATTTTGCTTATTTGAATGTTCGATAAAAAAAAACTTCATTTAATTTTCGATACATGTATTTCGAAGTATGCAAATTTTCGAGACGTGTCCAATTTTGTTCAATTTTGAGATTTTTTTGTGCAATTACGGAATTGCACAAACAAAATCTCAAAAATGAGCAAAATGTTACTAGCCTAATTCTCTTGATATCTTCTAATATTGGTCTTCTAACAAGAACCTCTGTGAATAGTCCATATTAAAATCATCCGAATTCTATCCTTTTTTTGCACTTCATGAAATGTGCAATATAGCTGACTGATCAGCCCAACAGATACGAATTAGCCAAAAGAATAATTGTTTGTAGAATTCAATTTTGTGAAAACGACATTCTCTTTCTTCATAATTCAAGTGTACCAATTAGGTACCAATTCGTATCTGCTGGACTGATCAATAATTGTATAATATAAATTGTGATAAAGAAATCGCTAAAAAAACATAAAGGATGTGAGAAAGGCCACCGATATTCTCTCCTTACAAAACAGATTTCGAAATTACGAAGTGAAATTACACCTTTTTTAACTCATCAAGTTTTGAAATTTATTTCAATTTGCTAAAGTTTTTGCCGAGAGCAAAGGATTTCGATTTGTCCTCGAAAGTTAGCTGGAGTGGAAGCCAAAATCCTTTAATAGAATCGAGTTGTGGAATAGTCTTTTGATTTTCTAGGCATATTCTGTGGAAAAATTTTGAAAGACCAAATTACTCCTTGAACAAAAATTGAAAGTAACCCATCCCCTTGGATCGCTACCATCAGAAGCTATGATGCAACACATTCTTTACGAAACTTTCATATAAATCACTTTCAAGTTAGGTATCATATTTTAGGAAACACAATTTGGATCAGAGGCTATTTCTCAGAGTAATATATGTGAGAACGACTGCTCAGTGGAGCCGGAGAAGCATTAAGGAGCAGATCTTTTCCTCAGTGAGCAGCAAAATATTAAAAGTAAAAAAATCTAAAATATTATCAATTTGAATAATTTTTTTAACGTTTATTATTTTACTCCTCACTGACAAAAACTTAATTCTTCACATTTTAATAAAAATGATAAAAACTAGAATGGAATATCTTTCTATTACAATGGACCCTCAGAAAGTCTTATAAATTAAAATTCCATGGAAATTAGAAGAGGTATGCAACTAAACTGTAGTAGGTCATCCGCATCAATTAATTCTAATCGTTTTTATCATTTTGTATTTCATATTCTATTCCGTAAATTATTATATTCGTTTTTTGTAAAAATGATTTAAATAAGTCTTTAGTTAATATTTTGCTAATCATAACAAATAATGAGATATTATTTTTCCAATTACTTTGTTGAAAAATTATTGTTTCACAGTATACGTCATTTATTATAACATACACGATAAAAAGAACATACATATAAAGAAAAAAAATGTGTTGCCTGGGTAAATGTGTGATGTAAGGAATGAATCGTTGTGCAAGTGAGACAAACAGCATAAACGAAATGGTATGCGATGATTTCGATGTTCACGTAGAATGTTTTTCATTTAAGCAGCCATTTGACTCATCGCATATACTTTTTGAATTAAAAATGAGGAGACAGTATAAAACCAATACATCCACATCTATCGGCACCAATAAATAAAATGTGTGCAACTTCATCGTTGATGCCATTCAGATACCGAATTACAGGTTCGTATTGTTACGCATACAGACGTAAGTGTACGCATACAATGATGTATTATCGTCACGTTGCTTCTTTCTCGTTTTACGTTCTTGTTGTCTACATGTCGACAGTGGAATTTTAACAGTGGTGAATTCATACTGAAACGAAATAGTTCACTGAACAAGTAAAATCTGTAAATGTATATTCGGAATAAAAATTTAGCAACAAAAAGCGTAAAAAATTCGTGGTGGTTTTAATTCTGTCATTCAATTGTAACAAGTGCGTTTGTTTTTTGTTTGTATTTTAATATTATTGTTATCGAAAAGTTGTGTCTTCCCGTTCTAATTGAAGCGACAAAAATATTGGTTGACACTCCATTTTATATACAGCGCTCGTTCAATTCAATATTCCAATGGTAGGTCAGAATAAATATTGACAATCAGACTCAGAACCATTGTATGGGTTTGCAAGTTTTTTCTCTCTCTCATTAGTTCGATTTTGTAACTTAACACATATTATGTGAGTGAAGCTTCTCTGCCATTTTATTACTCATTTCTCTGTATCTGCAGTTTAAACATTTTCAGTTTTACTGTGGTTCGTGTTTCTGTAGTATTGTGAAAAGCCAATTAATTCATTAAAACACACACCGCAAAAGCAAATCGCCACTTGAAATTCAATTATGTTCAGTATTCTATGGTGAAATAGTTGTGTAAAAAATCATTTAGGTATTTAGCAAAGAAAAAAAAGATCCATTGAATTGTTTGTGTTTGTATTTTTCATACAATTACGAAATGTTCAAAAGTTTGGTGTAGTTAATTGAGTATACTCAAGTCCTATATTACAGAGAACGGAATTTATAAAGCAAAAGTTATCTTATTTATTTCAAGTATCAAGAATGTGTTCTTGCCTTTATATACAAAGATAGAGCGATTAGGTTTTTAATCAAAGTGTATACGTGTTTCACGTGAATAAAAAATAGAAAAGGTTTACAGTTCTTGTGAACAAACTATTGGTGTTTGATATTGTTACTGATAAGGGGAACAACAAAAGAAAGTAGACATTATTATTTCTTTTTTAATAAACCAACTTCAAAAGAAGGTGATTTGTTGGATTAACTCATTCCGTACGCGAAATAAACCGGACCGGTAAGGTGTGGAAAAAATGAAAATTTATTCAGTAAAATTAAAGACTGAAATAGCACAACAAAACAACAAAGATCACTAATGAGTGTTTATCAAGTCTTTACATTCATTTGTACAATCTTGGTGTTTTCTTCGCGCCCAATCCCATGTTTGATTTTTTTTTGTGTTTTATGTGTATTCGCCAAGTGTATGTTCGGTTTTTTTTATCAATAAGCAAATAACACCTAAAATGGAAACATGTAGAAGCGAAAAAATGCATTTAAAGAACGTAGCGATGTATAAGCGGGGGCTTTCTATGATTTTATACCCGTTATGGTATACGTGAACTTACGTAACGTAATGGGAGAAAAAATTAAAACAAGATGCGATACGCTCATTGTAAAATCTACGTATTATGGAGTTACAACTAACTATGTATAGTGTTCAAACAGCATTCAGCCCTTATGAAAATGCATGTTTAGACAGCAGCATTCGCTTTGCAGCATGCGGTTCAGCATTCGATTAGCGATGAAAAAACTTTCAATGAGAAATGTATTTCCGACAATTCATCAACGATGACATCATCTGTGTGACAATCTTCGAGTGACATTGTCTGTCTGAAAACAAATTTCAATCGTGTCAAATAATAAAACATTTCTATGCCATTTTTCTTTAAAATGTGATTCGATTTTTTATACTGTTAGGCACCATTCTAAAACAATTTTGGTATTCAATGGCTTAGTCGTTATTAATAAAGTGAAGTGAGCATCTATTTTTTTATTACATTATAATACAATGTATGGTATAGTATAATGACATTTTTATTACACAAAAAGAGTCTTATTAGTGAAAGAAGACTTAGCGGGGGCTGTTTGATCAAGACAATTATTTAAATTACTTGGATGGATTTTTTGAAAATAAAATTGAACTTATTATTTCTTTTGATTAAGTTCGAAAACTGCGTGAAAAATAACAAAACTTATCTATGAAATGCAAGTGGAATAATATTGAAATAGTGTCAATGTTTATCAGATTATTAAAACTATTAACTGATTATCAGATTGTGGCCTACAAAAACTACTACCAAATGAATAAAAATATCAAACGAATTCAAATTTAGATCTAGAGTAAATTGAACAAGAATTTGAATATATTATTAGGTCGAGTAACTTCAATGAACACTCTTCCAATAAAATCTAAGTTCGTTGAACGTTTTGTTTTCAATTATATTATTGATAGCACATTCCACAAACGGAACTTTAATTCCAATTATACATGTATGCTATCATACTCCAGTTGAAATGATGACGCGCAAATATTTGCAGTTAGTTGCTTGGACACTCCTGAATAATATTCACGCTTTTATAACGTTCAAACATTCCGATAGGTGTAAACCCACGGAAGAATTTCTACACATGTTCATATCTATGAAGAAACGATCACTTTAAAATGGTACACGAAATGCTTAATCTGAACTTAAATAAATGAAATGTTAAAAAGATATGTATTTGATGAATGAAACATTTAAATTCACAAAAACACCATTTTAAAGCGATACTCTTTTTACGGCATTAAGATCAGTGTCAAAATACAAATTTTGAATGAATATTGAATGACCATTTAAACTGGTTTTCAAGTAAATTTTAATACTTTGTATCAATCTTATGAAGTGAATGAGACTAGAAAGATTAGCCATTTTCTGATTAGAAAACAGTTTTTTTATTTTTTACATTGATGAGAATAGTATTGAAATGTGAAAGAAAATAAGCTAACGGTTTTTATAAACGAATTTTCCATTTTTTTGTATTATCTGATAAATTAAGATCGTTTACATAATGAGTCTTTTGTTTGGAGCATTTCCATAATTTTATATCATCATATGGTGTTAGTGATCATATTTGTTCTTTGTATGATCTTAAAAAAAGAAAAAATTATAACGATTTTAAATAAAAATGTGATTCAACTTAGATTGTTCTGAAACGTTTTTGAAATCCAATATAAAGAATAAAATAGAAAACAGTTTTCTATTGGAATGTAAATATATTAACAAACTTTTTACATATTTGGATATACATTTTCACGATTATATTTGATTAGGAAAAGAACACAAATTATACAATGCGACCATTCATCGATTCTTTAAAATGACTACTGCTATTAGCCGAAATAGTGGTAGATATAGTGTAGCTTTCATCATAGAAATAATGTGAGATTTGAGTTTAGTAAAATTTCAAGCATGCAATTTTTGAAGATATCTGCATCTTATTTCACTAAACATAAACTAACGTCTTCTAGCTGTGACACACTTATAAACAATGATAGAAAGAGAGAGATAGGAAGAGAAAGAGAGAACAAATCGTAAATTGTGTGCAGCGCAGAAAGATTTAAGTCGAAGTATGAGAAACAAATTCTGAAGAGTTCATTGCGTTTCGTAGGAATTCATCTGTTTGTATGTGATTCATTCATCGTTTATTTCTTCATTCTCTCCGCGCGTAAAGAGTTATGTAGGCGAACGTGCATAAGTGAATTTTTCCATTGAGATTTCACATAAAATAGATGTTGAATTTAATAGAATAGTTAGGAAATTTATATGCCGCCTTCATCTTTTTCCAACTGCTAGTTTAGTCAAATGGAAAGTCATTCAAACCAGACATTTCTCAACTTTATTGTTTCATACCCCATATATGCAAGCGTGGGGTATTCCATCTTTTATTGATTTTTGATGTGCAGATAAATGTGGTACGAGTACTTATTCAGTGCCATTACTATTCTGAATCGCAATAGATTGAATCTAGTATAGATGAACAGGTGCTCAAACAGAAGTGGCAGGGGGTTATTATCAATTTCTGTCACAAATGCTTATTATATTCTTTGGTGAGAAGCAAATATACGTTAAGTGACGACTTAGAACACGCTGATAATGGTCTACGTTTCTATTATGACACAATTGCGATGCGATGCACTACAGAAAATCAGTGCATAAACAAAACAAAACAAAAGTCTGTAAACTCATTTATAAACATACTTTGAATACATACATTTTATGCTAACCATTGTTTTAAAGAACTCTACCATCTAATTTAATATCAGATAAATTGTTTTGTCTGTAATTCTCACTTTGTGTGTGTGTCTTTGTTTGTGTTGAATTTTATTCGTGTGTTTGCAAAAATACCGACCGACAATCAGCCTTTAATATTTATTACGCTCGCAAATTTATATGTAAAACAAAAAAGAAATATTTTTCCTGTTATTCTTGTTTTCCGACTTTTGAATGTTTTTTAAAAACGAAGTTTTAATGTCCATGAGACAAGCACTCCAACAGAATCACTACTTGATTTTTATACCGTACACGAGCTGCTGAAGAAAGTATTTTTTTGTTATTCACGTCAGATTTTTACATATGAAGTCATTCAGTTAAGCATTTTGCCATCCCACCCATAGTTCTGCACAGAAAAAAAATCGACTATTTGTGTTTTAAATCATACATTAATATAGGAGATTTTGATGAAATCATATGTTTTTATTTATGGAAGTGACGGAGCTTAGGGTAGTTCATTTGCACGATCCTGACATGGAGCAATAAAAAAGTAATACTTTCTTCAATAGCTCTTGGTCATATAGGCCAGGCCAACTAGGTCATTCATGGTGTTTGATAGAAAATAAATTATATGAATGCTTCTCCCGAGATTTTATTATAATGGAACACCACCATATAAAAATTGAGATTTGAAAAATACTTTCATATGGATTTGTTATTGTTGTAATACCTATAAAACACGTTCAACTATCATTAAAATTGCAAATGAAAGCCTATCAAATGATTATATTCGTTATCTTTTTTCATGATAGATAAAATTACTCTCTCAAAATTTGGTGAAATCATAACAAAATCAAACGGTTGAATTAATGGTTAAACGATCATCAAGCATTTACGAAGGGCTTCAATCTCTGGAATATGTCACATCACAGCGACGATCAACTTCTGCAGGCTGGAAGTGATTCATTTTGGGTATTTATATTTATCTTTAACGGTATAAGGATTTGGATTCATGTTGTTACATTTTCAGGAGCCAGGCAACTACAAACGTACAACAAAAAGAATAGAAGATGGCTACAAGTTAGTACTTTATTTGATATTGATGAAAACCAAAATTATAAAATTCATGTTTGTGGCAATAAATGCAATACCGATAATTCTACACTACTTGAAAAAAATATTATTTGCTATTTGTGTTTAAATCTTACTAAATGATTACACGGTACTGCTTTTCTACAAAACATTCAGAACAATTCATACTTTTTTTCTAAAAACTGATTTAGATTACATAATTGAAATTTTTGGTGCTTAAATCACTCTATCTCTTTTAAACAGGCTTTGCACAGATCTTCAGACACTGATCCACGAGCGAGCTGAAATAGAAAAGGCGTACGCAAAAAGTTTACGAGCGTGGTCGAAAAAATGGGGTGAACTTATCGAAAAAGGTAATTGAATTCTTATGAAAGGCATAAACAATGGCAAATGTGTATATTTGTTTAAATGCCATTTGGATTAAACAATTATAGCGAATTCGTTAAAATCAAAAATAATTTTGATTATCTAAGGTCCCGAATATGGAACAATGGAAGCTGCATGGAAAGGCATTTTAACGGAATCTGAACGCGTTTCTGATGTCCATTTAAAAGTGAAAGAGAATTTATGCGCCGGAGAAATTCAGCAAATTAAAACCTGGCAAAAGGATAATTTCCACAAGGTAACAGTTAGAAACAATCCTAATTGGGATTAAATCAGTTTTTCTTCTTATTTCTTGAGTTTTTGCCTTTTTCTTTTGTAATTCATTCAACAACAAAAAAAATCTTGCAATTTTACAATTTCAGAATATGCTTCAAATAAAAGAGCGTAAGGAAATGGAAGATTTGTTTAAAAAAGCACAGAAACCATGGGCGAAACATCTTGCAAAGGTCGAAAAAACTAAAGCCGACTATCATGGTGCATGTAAGACTGAAAAGACGGCAACAAATCAAGAACGGAATGCAAGTGCTGACAGCTCCATATCACAGGATCAGGTATAGAATCATTCCCATATTTGAATTCGTATCATATTGAATACATGAAAAATGTGTAAACAATGTTGCAAATTAATAATTTTGTTTCTTTCATTCAGATCAAGAAAATGCAGGATCGTGTACAAAAAACGAAGGATGAAGTTCAGAAATGTCGTGAAAAATACGAGCAATCGTTGCAAGAAATCAATAAATATAATCCAATTTACATAGAGGATATGACCTCAGTGTTTGTCAAGTGCCAAGAAATGGAAGAGATCCGATTGCAGTTCTTCAAAAAAGTTCTTTTCTCCATTCATAAAACGTTAAATGTCACACAAGATCCAAAGTGCGTATATTTCTTTTCTCTTTTAATCATATTATATTGTGTTGCCGTTTTTAAAATTGAATTGTGATTTATAGTTTACCTCAAATTTACGAGGAGTTCTATCATACGATCAACAATGCCGATCACAAAAAGGACTTGAAATGGTGGTCAAATAATCATGGAGTCAATATGGCCATGAACTGGCCGGCTTTTATCGTATGTATCTAATATACCAAATCCAAACCAATTAGCATTATAAATATAGTTTGTTTGTTTAGAGCTTTTGATTGATTCTAATTGTTTTCTTTGCATGCAATCCTAATTGTATTTTACATTTTTTTTTTGATTTTCTAATTGGTTATATTTGTTTTGTTTTTTATGATTCGTGTGAACTGACCACATTTAAAATACGAAAAATATAATATTTGTGATGCTACAAAATTGAAATAAAAATAAAAACAGGAGTACACTGAGGAATTTCGAGATATTGCAAAAGGAAATAAATCCAAAGAAGCTCTTCCAGCTGCTCCAATTACGCTCATCCATCAAAGACCAGTTGGCGAAGAGTTGCCTGTATGCATGTTATATGTTTTTTTAATTTAATATTTACCCGTTTTGTGTGATTTAGTTTTGATTCAATTTACTGTATTTCAAATTTGCCGGCATTTCGACAAACCATCAAGTTGTATACATGACCATTGTTTCATATATAGCTATCAGTATCCGTAAGATAACTGAGAGAGATATATTCAGCCAGATATGAGTGTCAAAATTGTGTCAAAATTGCATAAGACACGCTTATCATCTCCAGTGTCTAATTTAGACAGTGTCATATCTGGATGAATATACCATTCTCAGTTATCTTAAGGATACTGATGGCGATATATGAAACACTGTACATGACTATAATTTTAAAAAAATCATTTCAGGAATACCCACCGCCACAAAACAGTCGAAATAGTATTAAAACAGCGATAAAAACATCAGCAGCTCGAGTAAATAAGGAAGATTCTCCAAAATCCAATGATTCATCTCCAAACAATACATCAAATTCACCAAATAATCGAAACTCATCAATAACGTAAGCGCTTCAAATTTTCAATTTTGCGCACCATAAATATATGAAATTCAAAAAATATATTTTATTTGCTTGCAGAAATGGCACCAACAAATCAGAGGCGAATCCATTCGACGAAGAAGATGGCGAATGGGATGAAGGTAGTTACCTGCAGTTTTTAATTGAAAAACATAAATACACAATATTTACTTTCATTTTTTTTATAGGAGAAGCTGAAAGCATTTTGGTTGATAACGGCGAGGCCGGTGTTCCAGTTAAAGGTAATTAAATTCTTAATAAAAGTCATAAACAATGTCAAACGTTTGTCTACTTGTATCCTTAAAGCTTTATACGATTACGATGGTGCCGAAAGTGATGAGTTGACATTTAAACAAGGTAAACAAAATAAGATCACTTTTAACATTTATTACCTATATTTTTTATTAAACAAACAATTTCATTTCAATTGCAGGTGAGATATTTGAAAAGCTTGAAGATGAAGATGAACAAGGATGGTGCAAGGGTCGCAAGAATGGACGTGTCGGATTGTAAGTTGTCCTCGTATAAAAATTCATCGGATTGAAAGTATTCATACATATCAATTTCTTTTCGCAGATATCCAGCAAACTACGTTGAAGTTGTAGCAACGTAAGCATTCTTTTGGTTGATGAAAATAATTATTGTTTTCTAGTAGTCTGTCGCATCGAGAAATCTTTTAATTAGTATGTTTATCACAGTTATGAAAGTGAAATCGGATTGCGATACAAATTTTTAATATTCAATGTAAATATATACTATTATTAATCAATTGTTTGAATAGAAAAAAAAGAAAAAAAAATAATAGCAATAACTGAATTAAATTCATTCATAATGGAAATGTCACTTTACAACCCATTAAAACAAGTAACTGAAAGAATTGTGAGTAGATGAAATTGCATATATTATTAGCTTTACATTAATTTGGAATTAAAAGTTAATATATCATAATACGGAAAGATATTTCACGATTGTAACAAATGTCACTCCCAATATCACTTTGCCTATTATTATACAACTTCCTTCATCGACCCTTTCTTTGGAAAAGATGTATTTTTCTCTAAGAAAGTATTAATTTAGTGAAAGTACAGTAATCAATTAATCCAATTGTTGAATCAAAAATGAAATAAAATGTGAAATTCATTAATGCCGTAAGATTGACACTTTCAAATAATTTCTGTTTAATATTCATAACTTTAGTACAGAATAAGACACAAATTCAAAATGCTAACCGAGAATACCTTTGTAAAACAGAAAAAAATCAAAATAGAAACGATTTCATATTAATACAAATGTTTTTTTATATGATTTGCTTCAATGAAGATTTGATGAGACATTTTTTTAGGACTCTGGTGATATATGACGTAATTCGTTTAAATGGAGACAAAGCAGTTGTTCATTTTATATAAAAAAATATTTATTACTGCTTTAGCATATGTGGATGACCTACTACGGTTTGGTTGCATACTTCTCCAAATTTCCATGGGATTCTAATTTATAAGACATCGCATTTCTGATGTAATCGACTGATGTAATCGACTATAAGTTGTTATCACATTTAATTTAAATGTGAGTGATTCAATTTTAAATACTATTGTGATCATTGAAACCATTGATGGAATTTTATCATTCCTTTTATGGCTAAATAGGTCCATGCACTTCTATGTCAAATTTAAGCGCAAACTACTAGTACATTTGTTCATTTATTCAATCGTTCCTCAATAACTGCATCAACATAAATCCTCTGTGTTCTACGATAAGAAACAATTATCTAGCAACTCAATGTGATGTCATATGGCTTATGAAATTCCAAAGGGCATTAGATGATAATATATTTATTTGAAAAGAAGTCGTTATTCGGTATACTTGTTATTTCGTTATCATTTCCAAAATTGATTATCAATGATGTTGAATATCTGTATTGTTTTTTTTTTTTTTGTGAAAACAATAGAAAAGATTAAGAAAAATCACTATTGGGAAATGAACTTTGAAATTATTCAATACATGTTACTGGGATGGCTAACGCTTCGACAGTGTTCATCACTGGTTCTTAAGGTTAGTAGTATTTTTATTTTCAACCAAGAACTTGCCTGTCTCACGAATCAATTTTTCAAATAGATTTCATTATGGAAACTAGAATACGGTTTTTTTTATTTTGTATGTCTCTGTTGATTATTCAATTAGCCAATTCAGCATTTTCTGAATCAATGTGTCTAACCATCTCAATGGTATGGATTTAAGTATTATTAAGGAAGACGATGAACATATTTTCACAATCTCTTTTCCGTTTTTATCTCTTTTTTATTTTTATTAATTTCAGAAACAAAATTCTGTAAATCAATTTTACTACCTACAGAATTTACGTTGAAACGATCATTAGAAGCAACATTTTTCAATGCAAAAAATGAAACCAATCGTTTGGATTTATGTTGCCGTTCGCTTCATAAATGTAAGCTGTGGAATAAAAGACAAACATATGAGATCTTTGAACGAAACCCGAATACAAATATATTTTGCTCAAAATACAAACGGAGAAAATCTTAGCGTAAAAACCAAATATCTTTGAAATCGGAATAAAAGTAAAATAACTCGACTTATTTTATTTTCACTCGCAATTTGTATACATTTGGTTTTTACGCTGAACGTTTTTATATTAGGTTTTTATGCGTATTTTTCAAATAACAATAATTGGTTTGAGTTTAACTCAATTGAGTGAATCATTGGTTCGCTTCCATAAAATATGAGTGCAAGTTGTGTGTGTGAATAGAATGTCCGTTGTAAATATTCATACATACAAGGAGGAGCGAGATAGCATTGGACAATGATTTGAGTGACAAAGATGACAAACTTTTACGTTCTGATCACACCACATGATATAGACCATTTAGTGGTGTTCGAGAATTGAGAAAAAAATGTTTTTTTCTTTCACTTTTTGTGCTCTATACCGAGTCTCCGAGAGTTTCATATAAACTCGCCTTGCAATAGCCAAATGTCGCCTAGTGATTCAATCACGATTGGTATTCGCTTATTATTCAATAGGCATCACATAGCAAGTTTATATGAAACTCTCGGAGACTCGGTATAGAGCACTCAAACAGTGAAAAAAGTCCAGATCGTGATTAAGATGATATGGAATGCGATTTTTTTCATTCTGATTGAACCAGGTGATACAGAAAATTGAGTAGTATTTGAGAATTGAGGAAAAAACATGGAAGATCGCTGAAATGACACTATCGTACGTCCATACATATTTAATATTTGCCATTTCAGCGGTCTTCCGTGTTTTTCATACAAGCCTCCCATGTACATAGATGGTAAAAAATTGCGAAAAATGAAAAAAATTATTAAATTTTTTTTCTTCAATTCTCAAATACTACTCAATTTTCTGTATCACCTGGTGAAATCAGAATGAAAAAAATCGCATTCCTTATCATCTAAATCACGATCTGGACTTTTTTCACTTTTGGAGTGCTCTATACCGAGTCTCCGAGAGTTTCATATAAACTTCCCATGTAACACCTATATTGAATAGTGACCGAATGCCAATCGTGATTTAGATGATAAGGAATGCGAGTTTTTTTATTCTGATTTCACCAGATGATACAGAAAATTGAGTAGTATTTGTAAATCGACTTCAAAGATATTTGGTTTTTACGCTAAGATTTTCTCCGTTTGTATTTTGAGCAAAATATATTTGTATTCGGGTTTCGTTCAAAGATCTCATACGTTTGTCTTTTATTCCGATGCTTACAAATGTGATGCGTTTAAATATATTGCACTAAATTACACTAAACAATCATATATTCGGCATTGTGAATGTGTAAATTCATTTCAAAAATGCTTGGAAAATTTAAACACTTCCGTATCAAATGAATTTGCACTAATTTACTCTATAAATACAACGAAATGCTGAACTTAAATCATTATTTAATCGATGTTTAAGATATGATTTGGATAAAAGTCAACCACAACAATTACAAACATTTGATGTGCCCTTCAATAGACATGCAATGTCTGCATTCAAGAGTAAGTTATCAACAAAAGCAAATCTCATGTTTTATGTGTTTTGTTCAAAATTGTTTATTTATTTAAGTACATTCAATGTGTACAAAACATATATTTTTTATACACTTTATTATATAACACTGATATTTTTTTTTATTTATGTATCGTCCAAAATTCAGTATAAATTGCTTATGAATATTTATTTGTTAATCAGTTTCACTTTGTTCTTAGTTATTCTCGTTACGACATTACTGTGAATAAAAATGAATTTTTTTCCAATAGTGTTAATATTTTTAGTGCATATATTGAAAAGTAGTGAAAGCGTTCCAGCGAACTTCGATGACGCTGTGTTGGAAGATGCAGATAAACAGTTACGACAAACTAGCTCAGAACCTTCAATGGGCTTGGATGACGCCGCGTTGGAAGATTCATATAAACAGTTACGTGCACTTGACCAAAAAACGCCGCAGCATTTTTCAAATGAAGTTCAACTTCAGGAGTTTATATTAACTACCGTAAAGAACGCGTTTTCCGTGAATTGCACCATATATAAAACTTTCGTCAACGGTGAGTGCATTAAATATAAAGTTATTGTTTTTTTTGTGTCTATAGAATAAAGCTACAGCGATATATCTTGATGCTATTGATAGAGTATGATATGAATATCGTGCTATTGGTACATTTCAACTTTGTGACAACAATTTTTATTCTTTTTAATTTTTAGCTCCAAATGTAGACATTCATTAGAGTTCAATTTAGGTACTTTGAGCTAAACTAAATTGGTCAACATTTGGAGCTAAAAATTAAAAAGAAAAAAATTGTTGTCACAAAATTGAAATGTACCAATAGCAGGATATTCATATGATACCATAAATAGCATCACGATATATCGCTAGCTTCATTGTATTTTTTCTAATTTTCTATTGTTCAATCTTTCAGAAATGGAGAAACCGATCGATAACAGCATGTCAGAGGAAAAAAAAGCGCAACTAAGAACATGGAACACATTAAAGGACAAACAGCCATTTAAGAACATATGGAGTGTCGCAAAGATGATAATAAATGCATCTTGCAACAACCAGCGGCTATTATTGAGTAAGTATTTTTTATTTATTTTCTTTTCTTTGATTTTTTTGTATTAATTAAAATATTTTTTTTTTTTTCATAGGTAATACCTATTAGGTATGAAACCAAAAACTGGAAATGCAGCATGCGCAAAATATATCTTCAGCGGTGGTACAGTTATCTTCAATTAACCTTAGATCAATTTTCTAACCGAGAATACCTTTGTAAAACAGAAAAAAATCAAAATAGAAACGATTTCATTTTAATACAAATGTTTTTTTTTAATATGATTTGCTTCAATGAAGATTTGATGAGACATTTTTTTAGGACTCTGGTGATCTATGTCGTAATTCGTTTAAATGGAGCCAAAGTAGTTGTTCGTTAGTATCGCATGCAATGTGATCATATTTAGGTGGAAATCGGTGGAAATTATTTGTGAAAGCTGGTACACAAAAATATTTTTTCACATATTGACTTATGGTTGGATATAATGATTCTGTTTCAAACCACCATTCCATTGGACAAAACTGCATCTCCAAACTGGCATCTTCTGTGTAGCTGCGAAATTCGATATCAAACCGATTCTTTGGCACTTTGGATTTTGTGATTTTTGGAATGTTTGAAAATAAGGAGGAAAGACCGACATTTTTCTCACTTTTTAGCTTCGAGAGTCTTTCTGTCTCCGATGACTGTGAATCGTTTGTTTGTAAAGTCTTTTTGAGTTCATCACGTATTTGATTTAAGTCATCGGTTGAGGTAAGTCCTTGAAAACGTGGGTCAAGGAATGAAGCCATTGTCAAAAACGGATTTTTAATTATGCTGCAATAAAATTTTAAATGAAAAAAAAATTATAATCATAATTTTCTCGCATCGTTTCTTGAATAATACGCACTGATCTTCAAAGATTTGATGAATTATTCGCTTCATATCTTTCTCCAATATGGTAATTTCAGTATCTAGAGACTCGGATTCCATTTCGACTTCTGTGTAGTACTGTACAATCAGTTGTTGTGCAACTGGTTTCATCACTGATGCATGATGAATTGTTCTTTCAAATGTCAGCACATCCATGTAATTCTAAAAATAGTTGAAAAAAATTATCGATTTTATTAGAGGAAAAAAAACTATATATAATAATACCTTCAATGGTCGTATACATTCAATAAAAGCTTGAATAATTTGCTTGTTTTCCGAATCGTTGTTTGACGAATTTATCAAAAATTGTGATAAATATTCGAATTTTTGCATCCAATTGTGGAACTTTTTCACATTTCCTAAAGAAAAGTCACAAAAATAATTGAAGCAGTGAAAAGAAGTCAAACTTAAATTAAATACATACCCAACAATAGTTCATCAACGGCATTTCGAACCGCTGAAAACTGCCCATAAATCGCTTCAAAAACCATATTCGTAACATACGAAAAAGTTGGAATGATTGGAATTTTCATGGTGTGAACTTTCTCGCAAATACTTTGTAAATCAAAATCGACAACAAATGCACTACATTTTTCTTGGTCATCTACAAATGTTTCAAAAAACTGCGTGCAATTTTTGGAAATGCAGAAAATTTGATTTTCAAGACTATTTTTGGTTTCAATATCTGACAAGTAATTTATCGAAATTTCTGTGAAACTGGAGCTCAGTTTGCAAAATGAAAGCGAGTAATTTTGATTTTTGAGTATCGATTCAATTCCACTTAATATGCATGAATGTTGTAAACCATAGTCCTTTTCTATGTACTCTGTGAACTGGATATAAAACGAATTATTTAAAAAAAAATCTTTGTTCGGTAGCGTAAATTTTGATGTAGTTACCTGTAATGAATTTGGAATATCAGTATCAAAGAATCCCATCAAATCTTTGAATCCAGATCCATCAACAATGCTTGGATGAATGAGATCTTTGATAAGGAATTTTTTAATTTGTTCTGTAATTTCTTCGTTCCGTGAGTCGCTTATTTTGTTTGCTATTATCTTCGGTGGAGATTTTGAAGGAATCTCTATTCCCTCGGTTGGACTTTCATAAATAACTTCATGAGATTCTTTTATTGTTAAAAACTCTTCGGTGAGATAATCATCTTTGGATTGATCCGTATTCAAAGTCGAATCCGTGCAATCGGTTTCAAGTGTTTCGGTAATAGTTTCATTTTCTTCGTCATTGATATGATTGTAATCAATTGTTTCTATGTACTGATTTTCAATATCATCATTATCTTGTGATTCAATCACCAAATTTTCAATCATATCAGATGACTCCATTATCAATTTTCTCGCCTTGACAAATGTCTTCTTAATTATGCCTGTTGGATGAATCTCTTCCTTTTGTGGACTTTCATCAACACCATTATCGGAATACCAATTGTTTTCATACTCTTCGGTTTTGGATCGTTTCGGAAGAGATGGGGATTCACTTTCTGAATTCAATCGAACTGGCATTTTAAAATCTTCGTATTTGTTGATTTTATGTTTGTTTGAATTTGTTTGAATTTCATCCAATATGTGTGGATGTTTGTTTCTAAGGTGTGTGCTAAGATTTGTGGTATTCTTGTTATACGCGAGCATTATTCGACAAATGCCGCATATGATACGATTTTTTGTTATAATTGTTTTGTCTCTGTCGGCAGGAAATCCAAAATGTTTCCAAAGAGGTGATCGCATCGACGAAGGCACGACGATATTACTAAACGGAATGATTTCTTTGGGATCTTTGTAAACCAATACCGGTTTTAATTCACTATCTTTTGAAAAATCCATTTCAGTTTATAATGATCGGATCAACGAACTTTCAAAACAATTTTTGAAATACAAAAATCTCGTTCGGTGTACGAGATTTACGAGTTTATATTTAGGTTTTCCTTTGACATTTTTTACTATATGTATACTACATGACATTTGCAAGTAAATGTCAAACATATTGGTGTTGCCAGACGTTTGTAAATTTGAAAAAAAAGTTGAATACTTTCATAACTAATTCAATTTCTATCAATTCCTTTATGAAATAAAATGAAATATCAATAATCTCGAAAAGACAAACGTTTGAAATTCGA